ATGTAGGGCAATTGTCAGCCACCCAGGCTTTATTAATATTTGGTCATTTCATACCGATCTATTACTATTATACATAGATTTATTATGAGGGGAGCAGCAGACTCCTCTGTGGTTAAAGATGAAGTATACCTTCTACTCTTATTTCTCCTTTCAGCTGCTTATAATTTTCTCAACACCTTTTAAGCTGGAACTTCCCCTGCCATCAGGTGAGCATTTTCAGAAAAACTATCACTTCTACACATATGCAATTATATAATGATTAACTAGTTCTGAGACCAATTAAGTAAAATGTCATCCATAACGTATCACCCAAAAGGTGAAACCATTCCTGTGACTTTTTTGGCTTGGGCAATATTTTCTTTACTCAAAGGCATTCTTCAAACTGCTCTTGCAAATACACTCTGTTTGTTTAACTAGCCCAGGGTCTCTTCTCTCTAGATTTTTTTGCCAATTTCATAAATAGCAGAAAATTTACGGGCTCTCTCCTCCTGCCTTGGGGGTGTCTGGGGGGCTTGATTTCACTAGATTAGATGGTGTTAAAACATAACCTCGGAGGCTTTATCTGATATGTGAAATACCACACTGCAGTCAGTGCAGACAGGGATAACTGCTGAACTCTCTCAGCTGACTGTGGTTAAACTTGTAGCAAGCCCCTTGGGGCTTGCCCAAGATCAACTGAGAAGATTTGGAGTGTGAAGAAATCCCACCTCTGCTGGCTGCAGGGTGCTGCTACCATGGTGGCGGTGAACCTGACTCTTCAGGTGGAGCTGCAGGGCAGAAGGGGCCCTTTGAGCAAAGTCTCTCCCTTTCAAAGTCTCTGAAACCCAGATGCAGTGCTGGCAAACAGGCGGAGACTTGTGCATTACCACACTGGGCTCCCCATGGCACATCAACTCCCTTTTGGGGATGATGGGAGCCAGGCAATGCCGAAGTGGGGTTGCTGCAGAGTGTGTACATACAGAATGGCCTGAGCACTTGTCTTTCTGGGAAGTGTGTGAAGGGGAGGGAAAAGCAGAAGTCTGTCGTTGCTCTGTTTGCCTGAATGAGAGGCGAGGAGAAATTGGCTATCTCACCCTTCAGAGGGGATGAGCAGTGACACAGGCTGAGGAAGGACCTGCCTGGTTAAAATCTTCCCCCAAATCAAACTGAATGGAAAAGTATACAAGCAAAGTATCAGTATGGAGGCGCTTGACATAGGCACTTCTTGCAGTCGCTCATTTGGCTTAATGTCATTCCCAAGTTAAATACAGGATAGGGGTTTCATTAAAAGCAAACAACCAAATCCAGCAAGGCCTTGTTAGATCTATCAGTGAAGTCTGGCACTAAAAACTGCAAGGATGTTTAAGTGTTCTCTCTCAAATGTACAAAATCTATCCAGACTACCTCCTTAAATGATTGCATTGTTTAGTCCTGAGTAACATTAGCCAGCTTGTAAAAGGTAAATTGCAACCTTAGCCCTCCCTTTAACTTGATTAATTTTGATCACTGGAGCTTGTTTTAGTTATTATTTTTCCCAAGTGATTTCTTTTATGTGCTGCCATTCACAAACTGCTAACATGCAAACAGAGATAGCATGGAAATGCGATACCTGACAATAGCATGTGCAAGCTCGTTTATGCACTATTAAAATGATATGGTCTTCACTTGGGCTGCTAACTGAAAAACAATTATAATGCAAAATGCTTTAGATCACGATTAATCAAGCCCTGTCAAAGCTAGTAAAAATGCATGTTACTGACAGGAAGCAAAGCCATTGCGTTCTGCCCTCCAGTAATTTTTGCTGGGCTCTTACCTAATGGTAATATTCCATACAGCGCTATTAGCTGTCTGACATGTGCGAGAGAGGGCACTGGCTCTATACCTCTCTGACGAAGCACAGACCCTGCGTAGCTGTACTCGCCTGTAGGGAGGAAGCATGGGCTTAAATGTGACACTGCATTGTTACAAAACGTTTAACTCTGATAATGAAAAACTACTAGAGAATACCAATTTAATGTGCTCTCAGAAAAGCCGGTACTGTCAAGGGACAGGGACACAAACAGGGCAGTATTGCCACCTGGAAGGTGAACGGCAAAGGAAAAGGAAGTTTAAATGCACTGTAGGCTTCCCCTCCTAACCAGACTGTGGAAGGCATTCAGCACGGCAGTAAGTCTTGAATAGCCTTTTAAATAAACTTCTTGGAGAAGAATCACTAGTAACACTGTAAATCACCCTGGCAGAAGATTTCTAGATTTGGGATTTTGCAGGTGTGGAATCCCAGTGAACTATCCTTTCAAAAGGATTTCAATAAGAGGAGGAAAAAATATTTTAACACACCTGTCCCTTGCCTGCATCCCATCTCAGCTTCTCACCGCATGTAAGTAACTTCATTTGGTGGTTTTTGCTTTGCAGTTCACCTTCTTTGTTCAAACCCCCCCCCCCAACACAAACAGAAGTGAGCTAGTCTTACTTCAGCTCTCGTTACAGAGCTGTAACCACATTGCTTGTGCTGTCAAAGTCTGTATACAAGATGTGTTAGAAAACAAAGATCTGTAAGGAAGTGCCACAGCAAGAAAAGTACTTGTGCAGGGAAAATGCAGGCAAGACAATTTTTTTAGCATAAATAATGTGTAATTATGGTAAACATTGTTGAGTAATAGTATATTGGATTTTTCTGGAAATAAGAACTCTCTGGACTAGAGGTAAATTAGTGATGGTTAAGACAAAATACAGTTGTATTTTGGGGCAAAAGGATGGACAATGAATGCCTGGTGCAACTGTCCCCTCCCCTTTGAAGAATAAAATTCATTTCAGGTTTTATCTTTTATTTAAGGAGAAATCAAAAGCACTGAGTAGGAATTAATCTTCAGAGATTTAATTAGAAGGCATCAAAGGGTTTAATTGCAACTGAACATAAATCACACTGGATATTCTCTGACTAATTTAGATAAGGTCACTGAGAAAATTAGTTCAGTGGTGTCAGTGTGTCAGAGAGGGACATTTCTGTGCCTTTACTCGCTGTATAGCGCAGTTCCACCCTTTGTCCTTTCCCCAGGAACTGGGTGAGCGAGTGACCCTCCTTGGGCTTCAGCCTTGTACGAGTGGAGCAGATGAGGACATATTTCTGCAGGCTCTGTGCCCTTGGAATGTTAAAGGGAGGTTTTGGGCTTGGTATTAATTTGGGGGAAAAAAAAAAGTTAGGCCCGGATCCTAGGCCACTTCTGAACACCTTCTGTATCTTGTTGTGGCAGCTCAAGAAGTGTGACTGAGTTCAGTGCGGGGAAGAGCTGGCTTTTGACAGTCTGTGCTGCTTTCTTGCCACCTGCTCTGCATGGGTTAGTGTCTGTGCTGGGACATGGGGAAAAGGGCTACTGGTGGGGGGGGGGGGGGGGGGGCAGGT